ACTGCTTAATATGTGCCCACATCAAAATTGTTCCTCAATTGTGATGCAAATAGGTGTGTTGATACCCTCGTGATGCTACAGCAACAGGACTCAGCTCCAGTTGTGAAGTTCACATCAGTAGCTATCACTTAATTTCACACTCCATTGAGAAAGCACTGTTGTCCTTATTCATTTATTCCCTCACATTAATTAGACAAACAGCCCAATCTAAAGTTTCAGCATATTAAAATTTAGGTAAGGCTTCATTTGGAAACTGAAATGCTGATAATCGAACATCAGGTGACAAAATGTTAATGTTAAACAAACTGATAATGGCTTTTTATGTACTGTACTCTATGCATCCAAGTCCTGAACCAAGCCATGGATTCTCTGTCTCTAACATTTCCTATTATTTGATTTAAATGCTGTAGAATTGCTTCAGACTAGCACTGTTTTACTTTTACTTATACATTATAGTCACTTGATAGGTTTGCTTGGTCATACACTATTTATTTCAACCAACATTTTTATGTCAGTCTCTATTCAAGGCTTTCATCGGTAGAGAGAAAAAGGCTGGAGATGCACAAGGAGGGTTTTTTTCAGGATCTTTCTTACCATGTGTGAGTGTCAGGGCAGACAAAGAGTAATAAGAGTGAAAAGCAAACCAGATTTCTGCCTCTACAAGCTTATCTAAAGATTAGAAAACACCCTCTTAAATCAATTCAACAAGATCAGAAACTAAACTGCAACACAAACCCTGCCTCTGAAGTAATGTGTGGGTTTTCAAAAGCAAAGCTGGCATCTGAGCTCAATACATTTCAGTAAAAAAACATCCCAACAGCTGCAGCTGAACAAGAGAGGAATGGAAGTTGTACTGTGCAGTGCAGCAGCATATCGCTACTTAGCATGGAAGCATGCTACCTTTGGCCAAACATCAGGGTGGATTTGGTCTCTGCATCGTTGTAGCTAGAGGGAGAGCAGCAGATGAACATGGTGGTGCGACAGTTCCCACCGAGCGAGTCCTGTAGGATACGAGTCATTTTGCTGTCCCGGTATGGCACATGGGATTTCTACGACACAGATAAGAGAGGGAGGAAGAAAGAGAATCAGAGATGGTTAGAAAAGCATGAAAAAAGCCAGAGGGGAGAGGATCAAAATGCCATAGACGACATTCGGGAATTTCTGCATTAACATGCATATCTTTGCTTTTAAAAATGTGATGTGAGCATCAGCAAAGTACAAAGAAAGAAAAGGTATCTCTGCTGCATCATTCACAGTTTTACCTTTTTAACCTGTAGAACGCTTCAAAAAGACTGTGTCCTTGCTCACTGAATAAAGAATGAATGCCAGTAGATTTATAAAAGGTTTGTGAGGCATTTACAGTCTGTGAGCCTTTCCATTATTTTTATGAGAAGTTCCCTAAGCCTTCAACATTACAAAATAACTGACAGTGATTTTTTAATTCCACTGATGGAGTTTGGAAGCACTACAGCATGGGTAGACTTCATCTATTGAAATTAGTGAAATATATAGAAATAAGTTATCAGCTGAAGCGGCATTAGGGATTATGAATGAGGGGAAAGAATCAGCTGCGTCACTGCAGCACTCACCCAACTCAAATACAAGATAAGAATGTCACTATGGCAGGATTCTGAAAAACCCACATCACATTCAGTGACAGCACAGTTTGTCTAAACCAAGTTACTGTACAGGTAGGAGCCAGGTGTCTTCTCATTTAGAGTAACTAAGCAAAAGAGTGTATTTGTTTAAATCAACTATTCCTTTAAGTTAGGGAAGGTTTTAAGTTGATGGATTTTATCCATTCCATTAACTATTCTGATTATCCTGTAGGGAGTCACCGCTGGGCTGGAATCGATTTCAGCTGGCAGTGGGCGAGAGGCAGGGTAGACCATGGACAAATCATCAGTCTATCACACACTGACATGTGGAGACAGACAAGCATTCACACTCACATTGACACATACAGGCAATTCAGATTTGCAGACTAACCGAAAATACCACCCCCCAAGAACACTGTGTGCTCATTCATGACATTTAGGTTGTTCTAATCTAATATGTTCAGCTAATTCACTGCGGTATGGAGTCAATTTCAGAAAGCATACTGTTTTGGCAACAAGCCTTAGGTATCAGTTAACAACAAACAATTAAATGGAAAAGACTTAAGAGTGCTCATTGCAAAGAAAGAAGACTGCCAAGATGTCTCTGCCTTACTGTTCCCTCGGCCAAGGCTGAGATGACGTTCCCCAGGGCTGACAGAGACTTGTTGATGTTCTTGGCCTCATCCAGCACCGCTCCCTCAGCACCTGTCTTACTGACCTGACACAGATACACAAACAGATGGAAGGAATTAGTTTATAAGGTGCATTGTCAGCATAAAAATTACAGATTGAAAACTATGTTTATTCTCCTGTTATGCTGTATTTTACAGATGCTGTTGTCTTTTTTTTAAATACATAATTTCCCTGAAACGGACTGATTTGTAACTGAGAATCCAAAAGGGTCTTTTAATCAGTGCACAGCAAAAATGAAATGAATCAACAAATATGGGCAAAAAAAAAATTCCCTGCAATCAGTGACAAATTACATTGTTCTTGTTTGCAAAAAAATGTAGAAAACTATTAAATTTCATGACATTATAAAAGGTTAAAACAGAAAGGAAACTGAGAGTCAACAAGCTTATGAGAAGGTTTCTGCTAGTAATCATAATCATCATGGGATACAATTAGCAACAACCTTTGTGAAGCATCAACCAGCTTCCTCTTCACTCAATAATATTTTATCAAAATCTCAGAAGTTGTTGGAGCAGAATCATTGTCTTCTTCCCCCCTTGGGATAACCAAGAGCAGCAGCAGCAGGACTAATGAACTACAAACTGCTTCTGTCAGCATATATCCACACTGGCCACCTACTACTCTACACTCACACTACTCTATATTTTGCATCAATAGATTCAACACCAGTAGCCAAGGGCCACGTTCAGCTGCGTCTCTAATGTATTTTTAGGTCTGCTTTCCATAGTACAATCTATGTCCTGGATATGAATTGTTTTACAGATGCTGTGATGTGGTAAGCTGAAATCAGATTTCACCTTAAAGGCCTTGAAACAGGGCACCAAGTATTTGTTTGTGGCTCCCCCCAATGTGAACTTTGCCTTGGCTAAGGGTTTAATACTCTGAAAATAACATTTTATGTCTATCAGCGGATCCAGCCAGATTCCTCAAAATGAACAAACACTGACCCTGATATTGCATCAGCAGCAGACAAAGCTAAGCTTCCCCTTCAGAAGTCTTCAGTCTCTAAGACAAATTCTCTAAAATGTAGAATTTGATAAAAAAAAATTAAAAAAAATTAGTACAGTGCCATAATGTGTGTATTAGGGGGAAGAAGAAGAGCTTTAATACATAGTTTTTTGCTTCTGAAAACAATTTCTGAGGGAAGACATCTGGGCCCAGTGTTACAAAATCCTGTTGACAGTGAAGGTTGTGAGTTAATAGCATTGTTGAGGCCTACTTCTAATGCTTTTAGACAACATTCCCCATTCATCCTACCTTCTCGCTGCCAGCTAGATCAACCAGGTATAGCTTCCCACTCAGCTTCTGCTCTGTCTCCACGTTTTCCTGTTTGATGTTTATCAGGAAGATGCTGTGGCTGCGGGAACTGTGCTCATTCATGTCTAAAGAAAAAGTGATGAGATGATGAGATGATGAGGAAAGGAGGAAAGATGAGAGGAGAGGAGAGGATGGAAGATGAGAGAGGCTTATTTAGATCCCTTATCTGAAATGTCAATCACTTTATTATTTCCCATGAACAGAGTTGTTAAGCAAGATGTTTACCTTGCACCTTATCAAGCATTTCTCACCTTTACCCCTTATTATGCTTTTACTGTGAAAAAAAAATCTGACATGAAATATCTGACAG